CAAGCACCCACCGACCGGCCCCAAGCACCCACCGACCGGCCCCAAGCACCCACCGACCGCCAACGACAAAGGGCCTTGCTACACTACTCTTGACATCCATAAAAAGCAAAAATCATGACCGTGTATCTGTCCGTATTTCAAGAGTAGTGCAGCGAGGCCCAAAGCATAAAAGAGAACGCAGAAACGAAACGAAACCAGACTCGCCCGAGAAAAAAACAAACGCCAAACGCGTCAGATGTGTCACCGGACTCGCCCGAGAAAAAAACAAATGCCAAATGCGTCAGACATGTCAGGCGCACCGCGTCAGGCACGTCAGAATTTTACATCGGACGTCTCACGCTTCACGATGCAAACGATAGCGCGTCAGGATTTTACATCGGACGAAAAACAAAAATCATGACCGTGTATCTGTCCGTATTTCAAGAGTAGTGCAGCGAGGCACAAAGCATAAAAGAGAACGCAAAAATGAAACGAAACCGGACTCGCCCAAGAAAAAAACAAATGGCAAACGCATCAGACGCATCAGGCACGCCGCGTCGGGCGCGTCAGAATTTTACATCGGACGTCTCACGCTCCGCGATGCAAACGATCGCGCGTCAGAATTTTACATCGGACGTCTCACGCTTCGCGATGCAAAAACACTAACGTGGACCATTGCAGATGCGAGACTCGGTGCCGCCGCCGATAAGCCTTAGTAGGGTTGTTTGATAGAGGCGCCTCCTCACATCTTTGCCCCCCCCCAGCGCCTCTCTCTCTCTCTCTCTCTCTCTCTCTCTCTCTCTCTCTCTCTCTCTCTCCTTTCTCTTATACACATCTAGATGTGTGGGGCCCTATGGGGGTGTGGATGGGGTTATTTGGGGTTCTGGACCCAAAAAAAAAAATTAAAAAAAAAAAATTGCGGGGTGCCTACCGTCAGCTGGTCAGCAGCCGACGGGTCCGGGGCCGCCGACCGTCGACGTGGCTACCCTGATGTACGTGGTATTTGCGTGAGGAAGGTAGGCAGAAAGCGAGAAATGGACAACACTAGGGGGGTTGTGACAGACTGTTTTGTGAGAATTTAAACGACTCACGGATGGGGATAGGCTGAACCTGAGTTGCTGAGCTCCCTAAACCCTAAACCCTAACCCCAGTTGTAGAGTCCCTTAACCCTACGTTTACAGTCTGCAGAGTCCCCTAACCGATGATACTGTCAGTCATTATCTAGTTTTAACCCCGATTGCAGTTGATCGTCAACGGCTTCACCAGCACACATTGCTTCCTTTGATTCCTGTTTCTTCCTTCTTTCTTTTTCTCTTTGTCTTTTCCGACGGTTCTGGAGTGCGGAAACCTGCAAAGTGCTTCTGAAATGGGCGGCAAGTCCTCTCGACTCCTCTGGGGCGCCCGACAAGCCACACGTACTTGGCGCCCACTTCAGGATTTCATCAAAGTTTGTGTTGATACTACTTGATAGGGGAAAATAATCGTTGTTGCCCCAACAAAAAGGAAAAAGAAAAAAAGAGAATGCTTGTTGCAGTACCTAGTCCATATTATGCTAAATGGTACACACACACAACTGCCTGTAAAGTTTGCAAACAGATTATGAATTTAAGATTTTGAAAAGAAGGAAAAAAAAAGAGTACTCGTTGCTGCTCACTTCATAATGTCTGGCAGCATTTCCTTGTATTTCCTGTTGCAATCCTATTCTCACCGAGAGTAAAAGGAAGGATTAAGAATCATTGTGTACCATTTAGCATAATATGGACTAGGTACTGCAATCCTATTCGACAGGTTGAATTTGCACCGGTGCTCGTCGACAAGCAAAATCTACACTGACAGGGAGGATTAACAAGTTGCAGTGTCACCCGGCCCATATGTGGCTAAATGGCGCGCGCGCGCGCGCACACACACACACACACACACAAAAGAGGTCATGCCAGTGAGTATCCATAGCTGAACAGATTGCGGGGTTGGTGAGAGTAACAGTCGACCGCTTTCCTCTCTCATCGTGGGCATCGCTAACTCCCGGTGACATGGTGATTGCTTATCCATCAGTCAAATGCATCCTGGGAAGACTGTCTGTCCGGGATTTTAACATCCCGACGTTTGAGTCGGGAAAGTCCAATGAAACACTCTGGCGGAGTCCTGCTTCTTTTGTGGAGTTGTATATAGCGCGCGCACACACACACACACACACACACACACACACACATGTAGATGTTGATGAACAAATCATTCTTTCAAAAATCCTGATGGAAAATCAGATGCATACAGTAACGTTAGGGTACCTTCCCCGTTATGAAACCAGCAAACAAAACAAACCAAATTAAAAATGGTAGCAACAAAACAAAACAAAACAAAACAAACAAACAAAAATGGCAGCGTTTCATTACATTTTGTTTTGTGTTGAGAAGGCATCATCACATCACATCACACCTTGACTCGATAGACAACTCCCTCGCCAAGTGCTGCAGTCGATGCTTCTGCCCTGTTGGCCTTCAGCGCGACGACATCATGAGACCCAAACTGCATCACAATACCGCCAACTGTCAGCACAGGAGGGGAGTGTGAGATAGCCATTATGCCATTATTAATTACATCACCTACATCATCTTTTTTCACAACGAATTTACAAAACCAACAACAACAACAACAACATGGGCGTTATCCGCAAAAAAGAAACGAAAAAAAAAAAAAAACGTTTCCAACTTTCCACGATAAAAAATATATATAAACTTTTCTAAAGACTACTAAATTACTAATTTACTAAACACTGTAAACAGTAAATTTACTAATTTAGTAATTTAATACAGTTGAAAAAAACCTAATTGATTTGACGCAACATTGGAGGATGGCTTCTGCTTCAATTTTTTTCGTTCACCTCTTTTTTTTTTTTTTTTTTTTTTCCATGTGTAATTTGTACTATTTTCTTTTCTTCATCAGTATTCGTAGATACAGGAAAGTGCACGACCTAAGGAACAGATCCCGTTCAAATACAGTCGTACAGCTTCATTTTTCGATCTGTACGACCTCGGCTGGGTGGAAAAGGGGCTGTTGCCGTGACAACGCACAACACACACACACACACACACACACACACACACACACACACACACACACACACACAGTATACAAAAGTTTACCATAAAAACAATGAACGATTTATCATAAAAATAATGAACGAGGTTATGTCGTGCAATTGATATCGATCATGAAGTAAGTGAACTGACGTTATGCCATTTTTTTTCCTGAAAATCCCAAGAAGGCAACGGGCACTGTCATCTACAAAGCCCGGGTGTCTGGTGCACACCAATCCAAGACAGAACAAGTGAAAACAATACAATATTATTTATTTTAAATTTTTAATATTCTCCTTTTTGTTTCTCTTTTCTCTTTTCTTTAGGGCCTGGGGGCATCAGTAGGGTTAGGATGGACTACGCCTTACAGATCAACTTTGGGACGGGAGTCACTTGGGACCAGTTGACTCGAGTCCCAGTTGACTCGAGTCCCAGTTGACACGAGTCCCAGTTGACTCGAGTCCCAGTTGACTCGAGTCTCAGTTGACTCGAGTCCCAGTTGACACGAGTCCCAGTTGACTCGAGTCCCAGTTGACTCGAGTCCCAGTTGACTTGAGTCCAGTTGACTCGAGTACCATCCCAGTTCCAGTTGTACCAACTGCCAGTGGTAACAGAGTCCCAGTTGAGTTGATGATAGGCATGGTTATGGTTGGGAGAACTTGGGAGTCTCGGGACCTGGACACAACCCCGTCCAGACATTGGGATCTGGATGATCCATAATAGTCCAGACAGCATGCTCATGTCCAGATCTGAGTCAAGTCCCAAGTGACTTGAGTCCAGACAGCATGCTGATGTCCCGATCTGAGTCAAGTCCCAACTGACTCGAGTCCGGGTTGACTCAAATCCCAGACTCAGTCCCAGTTGTACCAACTGGTAACGGAGTCCCAGTTGAGTTGACGCTAGACATGCTCATGGTGGGGACCTGGAGACTCCACCCGATCCAGACATCGCAATCCGGATCATGGGTGGCCTTCAGCTTCAGTCAATTGGGACTCAACATTTGCGTCTGTTGGAAAATAAAATTTGAAATTGTCATTCCTATCCACAACCCTACGTCTGAGAATGGCAAAGAAGAGTGATTTTCGAACGTAAATAGGTTTGATTTTGTTTCAATGTTCAAACTTCAAACATATCAAACTGACCACCATAGAAACTGGGACTTCCCCACCCCACCCC